CCTATAACAATTTTAACTTAAAAACTAAAAATAATCTTTGGATTAAAATGATGAAATGGACACAACAACAAGTACTCCATATTATTTGAAGGAACAGGTAGTTAAAGTAATAATCAACACAATATAGGTCTAGAATAGTTTTAATAAATATACATTCTAGTTCTAACCTTCTTTCATTTTTATTGTGTTCATGTATGTACATCACATCAATCAATCAGTGTTCATTTTGAAGGTTTACAATTATCTTAAAGTAACTATATTTCTGTCAATTCAATACGCTAGAAATCTGATTGGTCAATATTCTCCCTGTAATATCATCAACCAATCAGATTTCATGCTAAAAGTCTGATTGGTCAATAAATAATATCATTGTTATAACATCAACCAATCAGAGTTCTGAGTAATGTTATGTTATGATTAGCTTAAAGCCTTTGATTTGATTTATCATGACCTGTAATCACCCGATATCTTTCGGAATTCAGTTTAAAGGGATGCAGTATTCTAAATTATTTAGACGACTGCCTCTCTTTAAGTATCAACTGAATTCCATCATAATAGATGTAATTAATAAATTCATTAAGATATATTTTAATTAAGAGATGTAAATTATTATGCATATTGTAAATTAATTAACTTTGTAAATATTATTTTAATTTCATTATTTTCATCTTTAGAAGATTCACCATCTGTTTGAACAATTGTACTTTAGCCTCACTAACCTGATTTTTTTTAGCTAAGCTAATCTGTTCCTACACTGAAGTATTTTTTGAAGGAATTATGTGATTTTTGTAAATTTTTATTACTTCTGAAGGCTATTTACATACAGACCCAAATCATCCCTTTAATAAGATTGATACTAGAGTCTGATATTAAAAAAAAATAAAAAATGTCCTTCAAATTAACTTGCCTTTATTAGAGATTTGTCTTATCAGCAATATTTGAACAATGTTTAGTCAGTTGATATTATTTTTATTGCAATATTACTTTAGGCCTTTCAAAATCACCCTTTTTATCTTATATTCATTAGACTAGCAACAAGTTTACTTAAAACAAGAGTTTTTGATTTTTGATTTTGTATTGATATTTTTGACAATTTACAACTGTTGGGGTGGAGCTAAGGAATACTCAGCGGGTCACCCATACCATACCACCCCACGGAAATGCACTATTACTTTCTTTGCAAATGTTCAATATTTTTTATGAATTCTTTTAAAATCTATTCCATCCTCTTTCAAGTATTAGCCTTCAGTCTGTCTCTTGTTCTTTTTCTTCTGTATTTATTTACATACTTACATTTTATCTATCATATTGATTGTGTTCAGTAAAGGGATCCAGTCATTACATTACATTTTCATTACAACTTTTCTTTTGCTTTTGAGGGCTGGCTTTAGTGAGTAAATCTGGTTGAGTCATCTTTCCTCATTATTCCAGTCAACCTAGCTGTGATTTGGTACTCAATAAGTCAGCTTTGCTCATTATTCCAGTCAACCCAGCTGTAAATGGGTATGAGAAATCTAGGAAAGATCAATGTCAATTGGTTTGGCTGAAGACCAGCTGGTAGACAGGGTCCATGTGAAATTAAGTTGTTCTAAAGACCTAAGAGGATCCTGTCTGCCAGCTGGCCATTGAGCATCCTTTTGGCATTGATTTTTCACGGACTATCTGTACCAATTTACAATTTGGTCAATTAGGCTCTATCAGCTAAAAAAACTGAATGATTAGACGACTGTATCCCTTATATTATAAATATATATATATATATTGAATTGTGTAATTTGTTTATTGTTTAGATTATTAATATTTTGGATTATTTGAAGATGTCCTACACTTTGCCTTATATGGTCATTCCAGCCACAATAGGCGTATTCATCAACTTTCACCCCATTATATGGCACATTTCTTTTCTTTGGTGGACATTATTTTAGAAAGAGTTATGAAAAGAGGTTTTCTTACTTGTTATCTGTGTGTATTGAAGACATGTATGGTTTTATACATCGTGTCCAAACCACGCCCTTATTCGTCATACTTCCTCGAGGCAGTGGTAATACATGTGAGAGAAATTACGTATTCATACATTAATATTGTTCAATCAAAATCAGCCCTACTGTATTGGTAGAAAATTTCAGCCAATCAAAACAAATCATTTGTTATGACGATGTGTCAGTCTACTGATCTGATTGTGATTCAAACAGCACAAATCTCATTTACACGTCCACAAAACGGGCTTAGTTTAATACAGGTTAATAAGACCATGTCAAAACCAATATTCGTGATACAATAGGTTTCATAAAGCTGGAATTTTAGAATATTAGAATAGAAACACCATAATCATGTTGGATTTTAAATATAAGCTAAAAGTTTCCCATGGACGTATTAGGTCAAGCACACCTTTGATAATCCCCTTTCACTGTCAGATGTAAGAGAAAAATCAGAATGATGCAAATTGGAGCGGTAAGTGTCTCCAATACACACACGCAGCCTGGAAAATCTCAAACACCTTTCAACAAGACATATGCAATATATATTGTAAGGTTGATGGTTGATGAATATGTCTATTGTTATTCTGTTAAAAAGCAGCATAATTACATGTTTTGCTCATAAATTTTAAATTCACTCCATTTTAAACTATGATTCTCAATGATTAAAGATCTCAATGAGAGGCAGTCAATGTATTTATCGTGGCCTAGGTGTAAGAACCCTAAGATATAAAATATCTAGCCAATTTTTTCTGTTTATAATTCCTGACAATCACCGTTTGCAGTCGTTGACAGTTCATTGAAGTGTGCCTCCAAATTTTTGCTGGCCTCCGCAGCCGCCTGAAAATCTTGAGTGGATTTAGTCATCCTGCCTTAAAGAGAGTAAAAATTTTAATTTAGAATCCGAGTTTTAATGCATGAATATAGTTAGGGTTGCTTTAGCAGTTTCAGGGATTATAAGTCAGATTATTGTGCCTTGCATGATCCCAATTTTAAGCAGTTGTTTCTCTAACTATTGTTATTTCTGAAATTTTGGTAACTCAATTTTAATATTTTGTTATTATAAATCTCAAACCCCTCCAGTAATATTGATTTTATAATATTTGTTTTGATATTGAAATGTGTTAAAATGATTAGTGGTTACAGAAAACTCTATAACGAACCTAAATTTGATGAAGAATAAAAATTTTGATTGTTAAAACATTCCATATTAATAAAACTCTTGAGAATTCATGTCCTAATGAATTATTATCACCATTGTTCTATCTTCATTATCATCTTTTAATTTGCTTTGTATGTGATTTTAGTTTAATTCAGTAGACATTCTGGTGACTGCATACCTTTCATTTGCTAATTTTATAAGTTCAAAGTTATTCAGTAGATGTGTTCATTAATTTTGAACCTTGCCAAAATATTTTAGCTTCACTTTTAATTTTAAGCAATTTGACCTTTGGGCACCAAATAAGAATGGGCTCAAATGATTCGTTTTTTTTTATTGTTTTGTGACCATTCTTCACAAAACCATGTGAATTTTCTCAAGTCTGAGCTCAAAATGTCAATGTTTTTTTAAGAACTCTTATTTGGTGCACAAGGTTGCTTATTTACTTCAAATATTTTATTTGAGTCTTTGTATAACATATCAATATCATTTACTATGAGTCAGGATTGTCGATTCTACTAAATTTGCCATAGATGTCCAGCTTCAGCCTTAAAATGTCCAACTTATTTTGATATTTAATTTAACTTAGCATGAGTAATTTTTTTCACATTGAAAATTAGCATCAAAGATAGAAATTGTAAAATAACTTTGTTGTGAATATAAAATTTGACACTTTGTGCCTATATAAAACCTTGCAATCATTATGCAAATGATTTTTGAAGTGATTTTTTTTTTTGATTCTATACTATTTTGATTTGTTAAATTAAGGGAATTCTATTGTTAGTTCTATATCATTATAGTTGATGGGGATTGTTTTATACTTTCCAAAAGAGCCAACAAAAACTTGGGTGTGTTTTGAAATTCTTCACCCTTTGAACACTGAGTGTAAATGAAATAATCCATCATATACCCTGAACTTTAAGTAATATAACTTTAAGAGTATGACATCACTTTATAATGGTAGCTTCACCAGCCGTTCAGTTAGCCTAAATCGCGTAATTATATTACCAGAAGAGAGGCAGCTAGATTTAAAAGAGTTAAATATATTAACAAAATCAAACTAATATCACCTTGTAAGAAAATTTTATACTTTTTGAAAGCTTAAAACAAATCCTGACAGCTGTAAAAATAGAGAATTAACGTTGTTTCCCTATAATGAATATATATATGTACGATTCCGAATCCTGAAACCATCCGCCCACGTCATATTATAACTAATATAAAGATTATTGAATACTATAATATATTTTATTATTAAATTATATATTTTTGTTTTTAATTGGTGTAAAATGTAATAATTGTGTTTGTGTATTAATTGTGGTAACAAATTAACATGGGGAAATAAATCACTCACTTTATCATCTGATGTTTATTCTTTGACACAAACAGTTAGCGGCAGCATCAGCCTCCTGGAACTCGAGGTATATATAGGGGAATGACTGACATCTGTCTCTATGAGATTCTAAATGCCACAGACTGCTATTGTGTAGGGAAGACAATACACTGAAACCCTATGTTTATTTTTTGACTCACTGGAGGTACCAATAAGGGAATGACTGACATCTGTCTGGTTTAAGATTCCAAATGCCACAGACTGTTATTTGCGCAGTTGTGAGTAACATTTAACTTTTGGTCTCGCATGAAATAACATCGAGCCACTGTGATACTGGCTGTGCAGATGGTGTTGAAAAAGCAGGCTAATGCCATTGTCCAGGCAATTTCCCTCTTTAGACACTGCAGGTCAGAGGAAATGTCCTGGGAAAAGTCAATTTTCACAGACACGAAAACCCTGCGTGCTAAAAAATCCCTTGACAGTTGGAAATTAAAAGTGAATTTTCTGTCTTTGCATATCTCAGTAAACAAAACGTAATTGAAATATTTTATGTACATGAAAATGTTCGAGAAACAATACAATACAATGATATGAGAAGAATAAATTATAATATTCTATGAACCATCTCTTCCTTGTTGATCAGATGATCTGTCTTGTTTACCAGTAACATCAACTGGTTCAAATTATGAGCCCAGTCATTCAGAACTTCATTTGGATCTTTGTGTTGAGAGAAACGTACTATTCCCTCTAATCTATCTATCTTGGCTTGTACTGTCTTCTTAACTACTAAACTAGACAGAAATTCTTCTGTTTCCTAAATTGAGAAAATTATCTAATATATCTCTGTCCACATTGAAAATAACAAAAAAATGAAAAATAAGAACCAGATCTTTAATTACCGATTCCATCACATCAGTGAGATCTACATGGGAGAATTGCAGACAAACTCACTCCTGGATTTTAATTCTTAAAAGTGATACAGACAGCTGTTCCCTTAATTGGTACAAAAATATTTCGTAAAAGGAGTCTTCAGATAAATTTAAACAAACATCAGTGATATTTGCATTAATTGTAGATCTACTGTAACTTTAATTTGCCATTTTAAAAAGTGACACACACAGCTCAATCTGAGTAGACAGTTATATGAGTGTAATATTGAGAAGAGCAAGCTACTTACAGCCTCAGTTTGATCTAAGAGTTCAGCCATTCTACTCATTCTAACTCTAGTATAATAATTAGACATCACTCTTATATTCTACAATATATAAAAATAAACCATTTGACAATTATATTTAGAACAGAAGGAAACTGACAGGTAAATATCAATAATGGCAAAATCACAAAGAGAAAACTCACATGTAGATACACTAATAGAAATCGAGAAATCAAGAATGTCAGAAGAATGAAGCTATCATACAGCTATCCAAATTACAAGCCATAAGCTCACAATCTCACAAGCTGACAAAATCAGTGAAATAGGCATGAAATATATCTGATAGCCACCCTGGATCATTCACTACTGAAAGGACTCAAATCAACTTCAACATCTTGACAAATTTTTTCATAAGGATAGAGACTAAGCTGGTAAGGCAAGTATTGAATGACGTCATCCTTCAAGGCTATCCTAATTTTGCAATTTTGCTCACATAGCGAAATAAAAATACTCACATGTTCCACCACTCTGATTTTCAGATCTTCCCAGCGTTTGACACCACCCTCTGTTTTAGGATTAAATACGTGGGTAGCAGGAGACATGGTGGAACCCAGTTTTAAATCATTTTCATAAATACTACACAACTGTTTCCATTGGATAATTTCTGGTGTTGTAAAACATTTTAATAGATCACTGAAATAGAAGTTACTAACTTAGAGGAAAGGGGAAAAATAAGACCCAATTTTCTCTTTGTTGAATATTGTCAATTAAAAGTTATGATATCAAAGCTGAATAGCTGGATTATTTCTGTTGTTGTAAAACAATTCAATAGATCAAATATTGAAAAGTTTTTTCACTAACTCAGAGACTGTCTGCAAATTTTCCTAAACGATCACCAGTTGCGTCTGGCTGCAACTGAGTTGTGATCACTTTCATTATTTGTAACAATACGCAACTGGTAATTGCTATGGTGATCCGGAAGGGAATGTGACATACCTATATTTGGATATTTCTTCTAAATTCTTATCTTCTTTAATTCTATGCATTAAATCTGATTGTTCATTATCATAGGGTGATAATATCAAATATAACACTACACATTTTAATGCCTAGAAAAATAATACACGTACACTTTAAAAATGAAATTTTTACATCCTTCTCTTAATTTGACTAATAAAGATAGACATATCTGACAGTAGAAAACAGCCATGCATCCAGTTACGGAAATGTTACAGAACATTATAATGGTTTTTGAACAAATTGCCTTCATGTAATGTTTCAAAACAGCTTCACAACCTCAATAAGCAACCTTTGGCGTCACCAAATGTTTCATGAAAACCGTTCTGAAAAAGCACAAAACTGAACGCAGGTGTCATCTTTTTTCACAAACATCTTGTTCAAAACTTAACAAAGATTTTCAATAATTGTTGCCTGTATGTTCAAAGTCAGTTGTACAAATGGGGATTAAATTTCATTTACGGCACAAACTGTAACGGCAAAGTAACTATTAAAACAATACTAAATATATTTACCTCTTTAAGTTTATCTTTGTTTTCTTTCACCTCTGTAGTATCATAAATAGCTCTATAATGTTTAGATATAGACAGATACGAGCCTTCGTGTTCATCTAACTCAATCATTAATTTATAAAACTTCAATTTCAAATCCTACAAATATATTGTCAAGATAAAATACTTCGTTTCAAACTACGACTCTACATAGATCCATCAGACAAGACTTCATTAGAATTGTTTCATAAATAATATTCTCGAGAGAATTCTGAGAAGAGCTGCCAACACATGTTACAAAATTCTCATAGGAACAAAAATGAAAGGAAATGAATGGAATTTTACATCTTACTTTTCTGCACCATGTGGTCTAATGAAGACAGGCAACGCCATGCAGGGTGCGATGAGGAAAAATTTTACCAGGACAGCCGCATTAACCTGCTCTTTTTCGATTTCCAATTGTTGAGGGATCTTTAACGTGCACAGCCTGTAGCACAAGGGCCTCGGTTTTTTGTCTCATCCAAACGACTAGATGCTTTTTCCATGTCCATGTCCTTGCATCACTGACAGGGGGGAAACTGAGCTCAGCTAGTATACAAAATATGTATTGAGGCTAACTTAGAGATGGACTTCAGATTGGTTTCAAGTACATAAGCGAATGTTTCCAACATAAATCAGGACATTTGGCTTGATATTGATTATGGCATAAGACATTTTCTCACTTTGTGGAGGATTCAAATGCACAGCACCTAATTTCCCAGCAGAAGACACTCACACAACAGGCAACAACCTTAGCATAGTATGCCCTAATTTATAACCAACAGGTCTGAAGGCATGCCACCGGAGGGAATAGTTTGTTCTGCTATCAACAAATCAAACTGTCTTTAAAACAAATTAACAGAAATCACCGAACAAAAGCAAAAAATAACTACTCACTGTGCTATCTTTGTCTTCGAAATATTTGGTATTGATCTTCTTACTAATAATCTGAGTACGTATAAAATCTTTCTTGGCCAAACATAATCTCATCTGCTCGAGAATAAAGTCTACTTTTTCCTTCTTCTCCATTGAACCAAATGTTTCAACCTAAATTATTGTTGAAATATTATTTCAAAAACTAGGAAGCAAGTTTGTGAAATTGATAAGCTCAAAGACTCTGTTCTCTTTCTTGCAAAATATCTCATCTGCCTTTTGAACATGTACCTTTTGATTCTATACCTTTTCTTGCAAATATTCAGAAATTATTTGCACATGTGTCTTAAGTTTTCTTACGAAGAATATTTGTTTGCATATCTAGTGTAAATTAACACATCGTAGAGATGACATTAAATAATGGAACGCTATTTTTGGGGTAAAAGTTGTGTACAATAAAGCCTTGGAGAGGTATAACATAAATAAACCAAGTACCAACGATCCGCAAAACAAAACGCGAAACATTGGAAGCATGTAATATAGTATTCTATTCTCTTATTTAATTCAAATCATAAAATAAACACTTGAAGAATTTGTGATATTTACCTGGAGTTCCTGTAGAACATTAGCAGCCTCAGCAATCTTTCCTGCATCTTCTCTAATCTTGGCTAGAGTCCTTGTAAGTCTTGCTCTTTCAATTTCAACATAGATCTAAATCATAATTAACAATAGTCAATGGCTTGTACATATGAAACAGTGTTTGAATTGTACGTTAGCAAATACAGCCAAGCTGTGGCCTGGACAAAAAGTCTGTAAACTTTTAGCCCTAATGTTAACAGTCTTTCTGTTGAGGGCTTTGATTGGCTGTATTCGCTGCTCATACAATCCAATCAAATTGAGACATTCCATGATACAAGCAAGGCAGCTATTGGAGTCGAGATATAAGCCGAAGCCTGCCGTAATAGCTTGACATTGTAGAGATGCCATTTTTCTGACTTATAAGTTTGGAAAAAGAAAATTCAAATCCTACCTTGCCGTCTGTAACTGTACGTAAAGTATCTATTAATTTCAGTTTAACATCTAGATTGGGAGTTTTTTCGACATATGTACAAGCCTCTTGGATCATTTTTGTCACCGCCTAAAGAGAAGAGAAGAAAATTGAAATCATACTTTAAAACGGTCATCTTCTTGAATAATTTCTAAACCTTCACTAATCCTTTGGACGGATTATTTTCCTGAGATCAGAATAGCTATTCAAATTTTCTTTTAGTGAATATTTCAACAATAGTAAGTCACTTCCAAATATAGTTTGTATAACAAGAAATTTCTTGCTTAATGTTTATTTGTTGCTCGTGAACTCAAATAAAAACCAAAGATAAATTGTAGAGTGTTTACAAGGAGATAAAGATACCCCCACTTCAGCGTGCATTAGGTAAGTTTTCAAAAATTAATTAGATCAAATTTTCCTGATGAAAACATGATATTAATAGAGTTTTGATTAGACTTGAATGGCAAACATGATTAGCATAATTCCCCCTGATAAAAACTATTTCAAAATCAAAACGATTGGCAAATTTGGCCAAAGTCACACCTACTATTACAGATCGAAGATAAGGCAAATCAGGTAAATATACACTTAAAGACCATATCTATAAGCTTACAAACCAACTCCTACCTGTTTGATTTGGCCTCTTTTCTTGGTCAATATAACAATATTCTCATTCAAGGCATCCCAGTTCTTCGCCTCGAAACATAATTTGATGGCTGCAACTAAGATTCTGCCAGTTGAGTGGGTGTCGGATGCCTAAAACATAGAATCATAGTTATTTCAATTTCTATTTAGTTTTCATTCTAAACCTGGTTGAAAATTCTGAAGGTATCATCTCAACTCATGCAGGGATTGACCCTTGATGTTCAGGATAGAGACCAAGTGTCTTAACTCAGTAAACCACCATGGCTCCTGCAATCATTAAAATAAAAACAATAATAGAGGTTGTGCACATCTGCTTAATGAGTTACTTTTTCTGAACATAATTGCTTTCAACTTAGACTATACTATGATTTAATACTATGTAGCCTATGTGAGATTGCTGTAAAGGAAGAATTGAATATAAATATCTACTCACTGTTCTGGCCTGTTTTTCAAGTGATAATAAGGTATCTAAAGCTTCTGATAGTTTTCCTTGCTAAAAAGAAAAATCACAATTTCATATTAAAGTTAATAGGACAATCTGAAATTCTCTACTCATTTAAAGTTGTGGAGAGGTTTCGGCTTTTCTAAGATAACGATGTTCATAATCATATAATGGGATTGAGAGGCAATAAAAAAGGAGACCATTATCAAGCCACAAGTACAAAAAGGAGCATTTGGCCATAAGAAGTCAAAGGATAGACACAAAGAAGACCGTGAATTTTATTAAATATAAATAATTACTGGATGTCCAGTAAAGACAGGTTTAACTGTAAAAACATGACAATGCTTATTTGAATGATCATATCCAATTAATTTCGACTTTATAATTGACCCGGTCAATAAAACTCGACAGAATTCAATTGGAATATAAATAAGGTACCTTGGCCAGCTTTTCACATTTTGGTAACTTCTCATCCACAGTGGAACTATAGTCCACATCCATTTTTTGAAGCTTTCCATCTCCGCCGTCCGACATGTTGCTTTTTTAGTCTCAATCTTTCTCGTTATGGACGAGACGTGAATACCTAATTGTCAAATCGGACACAATCCTCAAATACAAAAGTGGACAAATAAGTGACGATTTTGCGAAAATGAAATTTGTATTTTGGAATGTTGACCATCTGATAGAATCATAATCTAATTTGTCTAGATAGTCTATCAGTATAATTTCATTTTTAATTGTTGTGTCCGATTTGGCATAATGAAAATTCAGTCCGTAGCGCCACCTTGTGACACAATGATCGAAAGATCAATTATTTTCTGATTAATGAAATGATTGAAGACCTTACTCAATCCTCGACATTTCATGTTTACTTGAAGGATTAAACGACTTGCTTACAGCGTGGTCATTGTGATAGTGTGGATTTTTAATATCTTAGTATGCTTATGAAAGAATACCGAATATGTATGCCGCTGTCAGTTGAAGAGGTGCAGTATTTTTTGTAAACAAATTGAAAGTAGAGTTTTGACAGTTTTATTGCATTGATCATTTCGCTAAATTTATTGACTCGAAATCTTCATTCCTTCTTTATGTTTTTGCAAAGATGCAAATGTCATTAGTGGAATGAAATATGATTTATCAAAAAAGAATATTTGCAGATGCAATTTAAATCTTTACCATTTATTTTTTACAAAAATGCAAATTATCTTGTATAGGCAGTAGTTGGTCTCTAGGGAAATTCATTACACAGAGCCTTATCATCACAGCTTGTATCATAATCTATGACATTACATAACATTGGTTAGATAATACCATATTCATAGTTATATAAATACACAGATTATATGGATATACTACTTCTAGTTTTATTACATACTACGTTTCCAAACACATACAGGTAACGTTATCAAGTGAAATAACATACATAGTATGTAATAAAACTAGAAGTAGTATATATCCATATAACTTGTGTTCTTATATTTTACTTTGTCATGTATAACTTATACTAGGAATATGGATTATCAACTTATTGTCTTCTGTAAAAACAAATTTTGAATACCGGTACTTAATGTGTGCTTTTGCTTAAATTTTTATCAACGCAAAGACATTCTAAGACTAACAGTACTATTTTGAGGCTGCTATTCTAATTCTCATAAATATGATGGGAAAAATTCAAAAAACATTTTACTTTGCTCAGAGTATAAGTGGAAATGATCAATAATACAATAAATTTTTTAATGCACTTGATATAAGAGTTAAGAGTATAGGTTTCCAATTTCTTTACGATATATAAGAGTGAGTAAAGTGAAGTGTGTTATTATTGATCTTGGAGGTCATTAAGAGTTTTTATACGAGATAAATCAGTTAATTATTCAGGGGGAATAATCAATAATATATATAATATACAAACTGTTACAAACATAGTCGTGTGAACTTGATTGATTTGAACTAAGAATCTAATATGTAATTTATACTTACAAATATTAAAACAGCCTTCAAAAAATGTTGTTACTCAGAGTTTCACGCTATGTGATCTTCAGACAACTGACCTATTTCAGCCTGCATTCCTACTGAAGTTGGACAAGTAGAACTTATTCTCATGTCTACATTATGAGACAAGTTTTTGATTGGAAAAGTGAAAAAAATGAAAGCAAAAAATAGTGAAAAACAACGTTCCTAGCAATTGAAATATTTAAAAAAAAAAATAGAGAACATAACAAATTGGACTTTTTTACTGTATGATTTCATTTCTATTTTTTTGGAACATCACAAACCTATGCCAGAAGTCTGGCAGAAGATATTGACTGTTGGTCATTTGAGCTGCCCTACCGGTCATGTCTGGCAATCAGCAGTCCTTGTCTATGTCTAAGCTAACTAAATACAATTAAGCTGGTAACCCATCTATTTCACCAATTTCAAATATTCAGTTTTCCATATCAACCCATATCAAAATATTTTCAAGTCAATATTTATGTTATCTTGATAATATTTCGACCATGTCAAAGTCTTTGACCTATTAGACCTTTTGAAATATTAAAGGGATTGTGCACCATTATAATATTTTGTTTGATCAAATGAATTCTTTTCTTAAAAAACAATTGTTAACAAAAGTTAACAGGGGGACCAGGAATAGTACACCAAAATCTAATGTTAAAACTAGTTATTTTTTGTAACACCAAAACTATTTGATAAATTATGTAAGTTACATAACGTTTTTAAGTTTGCTATGTTTTTTGTTAGCTGTTAGATTACTACTGTATGGATTTAAGTAAAATAAATTGTAGAGAAATAGGTCTCCTATGTATTCTAAATGTTTCAACTAATAATATAGAACTGCTTTCCAGCCAAACATCAAACTGCTTTATTAACAATTAGTACTGTCTATTTTTAATTAACCCTTTTAAGAAGTATAATATTGATTGACAGATGTATATATTTTATTGTGTTATTGATCAGAATGATTGATTAGTTATCAGTAATTAATGATAATTAGCCTGAAGGTCTTTTAGTATTGACACACCTAGTTTTACTAGCAACATAAATTACCCTCTAATTTTATATAATGTGTAATTGTTATTACTGTTTAATATTTCTAGATATTCCTAATTGGCTAATTATTATAAAAACCTGATAATTTTCCATTGATTTACATGACATTCACTAGTTAAGGGGAAACTTTCACGTCTTCCCAACAGGAATATGAGCATTATTAGATATTTGAGTTGTTTTATGTAGTGTAAGTTTACACCAATACTTTTATATTTCTCATATTCTTGTGTAAATACAAGATAAATGACATTTCACACCATCAAATTGTTCTTAGTGCTTTTTTTGTTATTTACAATAAAGCTTAGAATACGAGGTTTTGATTACAAGATCCGCGCTTTTACGAGCTTTCGAAGGGTACCCAAGCGTCAAAATGACCAAATATGGCATATATGAGGTTTCAATTGGTCACCCACGATATGTTGGCGGATGAGGGTAGAGGACACAAAAGATCAATTTCGTGAGGTATGGTGAAGGACCTGCTGGTAGAAAGGATCCCCGATATTTGAAGGTGTTATCTTACTGAAAATAATTGTTTGTTTGTTTCTTCTCTTATCCTTCCTCATATTCCCAGAACACAAATTAAAACTCATCTCAATAGATCTTATTCATGCCTTGTTTTTGGCGCTGAAACTGAAGCTAGTTTCATAACACAAATTATGTCATCCATTGTAAAGAAGGTGACGTAATATGAATAAATAGCCAACACCTGATCAACAGCAAGAAAATAGGTTTAAAACGGTCCATTCTCAGAAATGTGTGATGGTAAACTTCATTTGAAAGTATCATGAAATAATGATGTAAAATATGAATAGTTTTGAGTCACTAGGACTGGAGAAGGAAACGATTTGACTGCAGTGACACAATGTTACCTTTGTTTGTTTGTGGCCAATGCTTGAATAGGGGTCTATACACCACAAGACTTTCATCTCTTCTGCTTGATTATATTTCAGTATAAAATAGGTCAGTTGTATATGGTAGCCAAACATTCCAGTGAACAGAGCGAGAAAGGGGAAGGAGTAGAGGTCGTTAAAAATGAGTCGTGTTCCCATCCTGAATATGGTGAGGGTCAATTCACAGAGAAACGGGTTTATTTATCAAGGTATGTCTGTCTTATATACAAGAAATGGCATTTTAGTGCCTATATTTGCAGGATTCTCATGATATGGCACTTTGCATGTGATTGTCTGTCTTCATTAGCTTAAAACAATGTAGTCTGCCTTTAATGTCTGTCATGAGAGAAGAATGATAATTAATCTGTAATGATTATTGACGTTGTTAACTCATTATATTAGATATGACCACACCTTGTTAATTAAGATTACATCAATATAATATATAATATAATATAATATATCGTGTAAAGACATTTATGCACTTCCTGATGTTATTTGAAACTTAACACAAGCATTCCCCTTAACTTCTTAACCACTAAAATTTTATTTAAAGAGATGGGTTCGCTTTTGCGCTAATTGTAGTTTAGTCTCAGAAATGGGTACCGGTATTATTTTAGCTAAGCTAGCTAATCAGTTACAGTGTTCACAGCTCACTTTCAAAATTTGAGTCCTCAATCAATCCCTGAAAATGCTTTTAATATGTTTTAACTTGTACTTAGAGCTTGATATATATTTTCCCTCCTTCGAAAAAAATCTTGCAAGCTAAAAAATTAAAAAAAAGGTCTAGCCTTTTGCTGCAAATTTGGTAACTGCAAAAAATGTACGAATTTCCCCTTCATTTCAGTCGATTGCCAGCCTGGTTGCAGTCGTTTATTCCTAGAATATTTTACGTGACAGAGAAAGCATGGAATTATTATCCCTATACAATAACAGAATATACAGTAAGAATTAATTAATTGATTATTGGTATGAGATTATCAGAGAAAAATCTAATTTGCTTCTTTAAGATCCCTTGGCATGCCACTATCAGGTAATTCTATATTTTAAGTAGAACTGTCTGTAATCAAATGACCCAAACTATCTATATACTGTAAGATTACTTGTTATTGGTATGACAGTATTGGAGAATATATTTAAGTTTAAGTACTGCTGGCATGATATATAGCAATATAACAGTGATTATTGCATGATATATGAAAATGTTAAAAGGAATCTGGGTGGCTCAACGAGTTAAACACTTGTGATGCAGCTGATGCTGCTGTCCTGGAAAATTGTCCCCATTGCACACTTCATGATGTAGCCCATATTTTAATGTATAATGATCTGCTAAATGTCAAGATATTTTCCTATGATCTGTTTTCAGTGTTCGTTTATTCCCAAGTTTAATGTATATATAGAAACTAGATATGAAAACAATAATGGCTCATCTAACAATGTATGTATAGCTCACTTTCACTACCAATATTTCTTCATTTCACCTCACCTCATAAGTAGTTTCCTATAAAATTGTGTTCCGATTTTGCACAGAGCTCATCTCAACCTACCGACATATCTTGTAGATACACAATTCATATAAGGACAGCTAGTTTTGGAATAGGGAATTCTTTTTTATTTAATCTCAAAATGAAAATTAAGTTTGAAATTTAGCACCTCCTGATGATTAAGAGTAGAGTTATTGCCCATGTTTCTATTGAATATTGAATAACCCTTCTCATGATTATTGCAGTGTTTAGGTATAGGAGCTGATCAGTTAAGTTTACGCACGGTAGATTTTATAGATATTTTACATGATCAAGTACCTGATAAGTATTATAAAGAGGAGGAGGTAAGCTGAGTTTAGTTTAATATTTTTAAACACATCTCCCAGGGACTGACTGAGCATTGCTGGACCCCCACCCCCAGACTCTCATCCTACCTATACTTAAAAGGGCAGTATGCAAAATTTTCATTATCAACAATGTCGTAAATTATACAAAAGAAATGGAATGTGCCTTTAATTCTGATATTTTGATATTAAAGGAACAGGTGTGCCATTTTCAATTTAATTTTTTCAACATTTTTAAAAAACTTTGACAGGGGGATGCTTTAAAGCAGGCAGACATATATTAACACTGGCCAAACCTGACTAATCCTTATTTTATTTTGTTGTTAACAGGATCTGAGTAAGTTTGGATCGAGGAAAACCAACAGAGGACCTCTACAAAATGGTTGGGATGTAAGTATGATTGCTTTACACATTCATCTCGCTGAAACCATTTTCTCACCATCTTGATCTATCTAGTAGACGGTATAACTGAGTTGATGTTTAAGTGTACTGCGTTTTTATTGGTAACAGAAAATAGTGACCATCTTTCTCTGCATGTTTATTGACATCACGGAATGCAGCAATTTGATTGGATTGTAGGGATGTCTGGTTGAAAATTCGAATCGATGCTATCAGTGTCCCTGATACACATTAAATTTTTAGAAAGCCTCTTTACCATCAAGATAAGTAAAATGAGTAGTCATGGAAACATGGCCATGCTGCTGCCCTGACAAAATTCTCCACATTGCTAACTGTATGACGGGGCTTACTTTCATTAGGAGCATGCCCAATAAGGACCTCTTTTAACTTTTATTTATTGTTGTTATTTTTTTTGTAGAAAACATCTAATCCTATAATGTGCTCGTATAAACTGGTAAAAGTGAAATTTGAAGTTTGGGGTTTACAAACTAAAGTTGAAGGTTTTACTCACAAAGTAAGTACCGGTACCATTAAAAGTGATTTTTTCATCCATTTTATCTTTGTGTAGCTGGAACTGTAAACTTGTATAACATAATGCTAGAAACAATTAATGAAAATGCCCTAGAGTTTGACTAAGGATTTGCTTCAGTGAATATGAAATTCAAAATTATATGATTTGAGTCTTTGTTTATGTATAAAATAATAATGACCAAGAACATGTTTTAAGCAAGCCTGAGAAAGAGTAAGGCAGACAGTGGAATGTCCATAGGCAACGCCTGCGAATAATTTACCTGGCCTTTCTCTTTCGAATTTCTCTAACTGAATTTGAATCCATGTGCAACCTCAAAGAGATTTGCCAACAAACGTTTATATATTTCTATCAATGCTATTTATTTTACAGTCTATACGAGATATATTATTATTAGGACATAAACAAGCGTTCGCCTGGATAGATGAATGGATTGGTGAGTACGATTGTTATTTTACTAATTTTGATGAACGTTGAAGTGACTCCACTTGCCATACATGATCTGAAGGACTTGTGATTTATGTCCTGTTCTGGGTCATTTAATATTCATCCAATCAAATGCCCTGTTTAGACTTTCATACTGCATGTAAGGAAATCTAGGGTATTTATTAGTGATATTGATGTTATCTTATGCACACCATAGACCTTATTCACGCATCGGCCATATTGAATCCAGAACAAGGCTCATAACGCAAACTATGAAAAGGTAACGTTATGTCACTGAATGTAATCGCCACGTTGATGTCTTTAAAGCCTCCTTCTCCAGTCCAACTAACTTGAAACTTATCATATTTTACATTATTAAATTTAAATTGATTAAGCTATTTAATGATACTTGTACATGAATTTTACCTTCAAACATTTCCGAGAAAGGCCAGTTTATAGTATATCTTGCTGTTGAGAGAGTGTCTTATGACGTCAAATAGGCTATTCATTCATCGCCATCTTATCATTGGATGACGTAATTAATTTGTGTTATGAACCTCGCTTTCAGTGTCTCAAAACGAGACATGAATAAGGTCTATAGTGATGACAAATTTGATTTTAAACAGAAATGTCTGAAGAAGATGTACGAAGGTATGAAAAGAGTATGCACGAAGAAACGAACAAGAGAGTTTTAGCTGGATCACGATCAACATCACGACTTGGATCTCAAGGTGATTCACGATCAGGATCTACCTCATCACAACCGTGATTATTAGGAATATTTAAATTTTGTTAATATATATAATGGGTAGGTGCTCGATTAGTGAGTTCTGCACGTTTGGGTTTCATGGAATCAAACAAATTGGACATCGTAACAATAATGTCTTCGGTAATAAACATGTATTAATATATATAATGGGGGGTGCTCGATTCAGGATTCATGGAATCAATTAAAAGTTCGGTATAAGTTCAGAATGCGTTCCGCCTGTACCAGTAGACAGAATTCAGAACGGCAGAGAAAGGGTAAATTTTGCATGTGACATATCCATTTTCGTAACGTTCTATCAAAGCCAGAATTGGAACAGAGAGAACGTGTTCAGAACTCTCAGATCGAGTGCCACCCTTGTATGGCTGTGATAGTAGTGTTAAAGTGAATTAAATAAAACATTTTAAAGTGGGAGAAAGCGCCAAGTTTTTGACTCTATTGAAAGTTTACAGATTGTTTGTTGTTCTTAATTTTTAGTCGTTATTTTGAATTTTTTAAAGAATTTTAAATTTTTAAATCAAAAGAATTAATGAATGGTTTTAATTCATGTTAATTATTTTAAATTATTTATTTTGATTATTGGTTATCAAATGGCATTTTATATCATGGTGTATCAGTTATTATTGAAATTAGACCAAACTTGTGTACCATTTCATTTTGTATTGGCTTTTATTTTTGATATAGCAACTTCAGTTAGGGTCTAATGACAGCCCTCTTGAAAGTTAGTCTAATTAACCTTTGACTTAACTCGATGACGTCTACATATTTGTACCCTCTCCAGCGCTGGTATTTTTTGAGTGGTCTTTATCAGGTTAGGTCAAAAGGTTACTTTAATGTTCAAGAGGGCTGTTGTTAGACCCTAACTGAAGTGGCTATATTAAAAGGGCGAATATCCACGGCCATATTAAAAATGAAAGATAATAATGAAAAGGGAAAGAAAGTAAGGTCTAATTTAAATTAGACTGTATGGCATATCATATTGAAGCTGCAGGAATTTCAGGTTGATAAACATATCGGTGCAATAACCCTGAAATTTCCATCAAGTTGGCCAAAAAATTCTGAATTATTTCCAAAAATTTCAGTATATAAGTAAATTTGAATATGATTTTTTGGCCACTTAATCATCACTTTGGTCTGTAAAGGTCTACAGGCCTACCCTCATGTTGTTATTAATACCTTACAGACCTGTGATTTATCTTTTATTTAACCCTAGCAGCGTGTTTACCGGCCACATACTAACGCAATATATACCCGAGCACTGTTACTAAGTGAGCACTGTTACTAAGTGACGTGATACAATGTTAACATCATATGCTTTTGGAGTAAGGCTATATGACGTTATATTTCATTTACACTCAAGGATCAAAGGGTTAACACAGTCAAAGTGTTTTATTACTGATATTAAGAAGATAGGTCTTAAGCTAGCCAAGGTTTCAGGAGAGGGCTTCTGAAATATTTCATAGGGGTGCAGGCTGAACTCAACAGTTTAATCCAGACATCCATCCAGACATCCAATCTTCTTTTGTATTTCTAAGATCAAAGAAAGAAAAAGACATTAAAAATGTCTGCTTTCAAAAATTAAAGAAAAATATGAGCTTATTATATAACTGGATTAACAGGAAGTATTTTTTATGTCATCAGTCAAAGTTTTGCCCTGTGCCTCCCTCCGCCCCCCTCCTCCCTTTAGCTACGGACCTGTTTGAAGATGATATTATGAAATGATAATTGTAGATATTGTGAAAGTGATATTATAAATATACTAATAAGCTTTATCAACTAACATGAATCATGTCCCCCCACCTGGCCAGCCCCGCCTCTAGAAATGCCACTGGGGCTAATATATCAAATTATTAACCCTAAAATCTAATTAACAACATAATAATGATATTAATCTCTAGTCTAGTTTTGTTTTGTTGAAATTTGACTAACAGAGGGTAAAATATTGTAAAAGGTGTAAAGTTGTTTATCATGTACTAATGTTTTTAATTGTTATTAAATTAATTTTAATTATTTTTTTTTGATAGTTTATTTCATGGAGTGTTACGCCCATTTACTAAAGACCATGGTTCAACATTTTCAATGGTTGATATGGGTCTTGAATATATGTAATTAGTCTTCAGAAGAACTAGAAATGTCCCATATTTCCTTCAAAAATACCTCAAACAAACAGATGACGAACCTGCCCCTTTCATCTTCACTCAGGATACCATGGCTACATATCAGGGCTCTTGATTTGCGGGAAATATCTATTTGTCGGATTAAAATTTCCGATTGAAAATAGCCTCTTTCAGGCATCAATTAAAGGTCTAAAAAATAATCATGAAATTACCCAACTATATACAGTAAATAATAGAGTCCAGTCAATAGACCACCAAACACAAGTTCAATTACTCTTACCACGCAAGACATTTTGCTTTTTACTTTTATTTTTATCTATTAGAGAGTAGATCTACTCAATATGTTTCCCACGGGTTTATTGTTCCATACGACTGACTGGAAGGTTTTTAGATACTAGAGAGAATACTTTAAGAACAAGTATTTTACCAGCTTGGTAACGAAAATTCTGATGCCTGTGTCAGTGCTTTCGAGAGTCAGTCCGGTGTCGGCTCTCACCCCCTAATACCAGCTGAGTCACCATTTTCCTTGTAAGGAATTAAAAGAAATGAAATATCTTTTTTTCTGCACCTGTTTGGGCTAATGAGGACGGCAAACACCATGCAGTGTGCAATGAGGGACATTTTGCCAGGACAGCAGCATAAGCCTACTATTTTATGATTTCCAACTGTCCAGGGATCTTTAACGAAACACACAAGGCCTTGGTTTATTGTCCCATCGGACATGAATTAAAAGAGACTAAAAGACAATACTTTGCTTAGAGTTATAATATCAGTTTTAATTTGGTTTATTAAAAATATCATTCATAAATAAAATTAAAATCAACGAGGACAATCATGTGATAAATAGGGATTAAAGATGCCCTCACACCATGGTGATTACCAGTTGGTTGTGAATAATGAAAGTGGACACGAGTTCTGAATGCAACTAACAACTCAGTTACATGAGATTTGCATTTGAAACTTATGACTGCTATTTTCATTCACAACCGCTCTCAACTATTAGTCACTCGCTATGGTTGGTTGGTAGATGACAAGTTAATATTCGCTTCCAGCGGATGCTGACAGCGCAAACTAGGTAAGTCGTAGAAGTTAGTAGTTGGTCACTCGCTATGGTATGAGGGCCTCTTAAGTAATAATCTGTACATAAATAATGAACATTTCTATAATTTGATTGGTCAAGTTAAAACTGATTTTAATTTTTTAATTGATTTTTTAACCAATCAGAATTCTCTGGTAGTTAAAATGTCAACAGAAGGAAATAGAACAGAAACCAACTGTCACAGACAATGGCTTTATCCATAATAATAATAGAATAATAATGCGATAGTATGTGATATAAAATATAAAAATAAAACCCAGGAGACTGATGAGATATATCTGGTTATTACAGTAACAACTCCAATTAGAACTTCATCTTCACAATATCAAGATATTACAAACTACATCTTCACAATGACAAGCTATTACATACTATATATATACCTTGACTGCAATAGTCATTATTCTTGTATAATAGAATGTAGAGATATGATTGGATATTATTATTATTATTATTATTAACAACATTTATAAAGTGCTCCTTTCACCATGACAGTGTTCAGGGGCGCTGTACAATAGATAAATCAACGAAGACTAACATATAAAATCCATATTAAAATAGCAAAAATTTAAAAATATTCAATTATTGATGTAAATATGCCAGCAAATACAGCCAATCAGAGCAGTTCGTAATAGCTTGACAATGCGAAGATGGTACAACTCCTGCATAGTCTATTCAACACCTCTGAGAATATTACATATTTCTACCATGTTTCACTGTAGCAAGTAAACCTTGTATAAGGGACTACGGTTATAAATATTCATCATTTAAATAACTTTTAAATTAGCAAATTAACATAAAAAGTCTCATGATTTGTTTTGTAAATATAAACATATGTATGAAATTTGTCATGGTTTTAAAAACTATGTAAAAATCTTAAAATATATAGGTATATAAAAAGTGCTTAGACCAGATCAATTTATATTCTGACTTGATATTCTTTTTCTTGAAAAATCTGATTTTGATTTTTTCTGATTACGGGAAAATTAAAGTAGGATCGGTAAAACAAGAAAATAAATTGATCTAGTCTTAATATGTTCATTTAATAATTCAATAATTAACAGTAGAATAGAAAAAATTGTATTTTGAGGTAGAATAAATAGAAATCAAAGTTATACAGGCAAGATTTATATTGTGTTCATTTATACTTAAACAGACAGGCGCGCCATTCTTTTGACCAATTGTACTTTAGTCTCAAAAATTTAATTTCTTAGCTGAGCTAATCAGTAATAGTGTTTACAGCTCACTCTCGAAATTTGAGCCTTCAAATCCATGTGTGTCCAGAATTATCTGCCTTTGACTCGTCTTTTCTGGGGACTAAGTAATATGCAGAAATAGAAATAGAAATTCCCAGTTTGAGATATTTTTGAAGGAATTGTGTACTTTCATAGACATTTCTAGTACTTCTGAAAACTTTTTACATATATTCAAGACCCGAATCAACCACTGCGAATGGCAAACCTGTCTCTTGAAGCTATCTAAAATATTAAGTAAATTTCTTGTGTTTATGTTTTGAATAAGTCATGGCTAGATGTGAATAAAATATCTTAGATTGATTACATGTATACACAATTGATATAATAAAATTAAAAAAAAAAATTGGAATGTTAAAACGAGAGACAAATATAGGTCCTTGTGTATTATATTGTAACATCTACTAACCAAACATTCCCCTGATACTTTAAGATTCAGCAGGTACCGTGGAGGCTAAAACAGGATTAGATAATGCCCTTTATACAAACAATAACAAAATGCAATTCATGACTTAAAGAATAAAAAGAAAGAAAGAAAGGATTATATTTTACAAGGATATAACAAGTAATATAAGAAGTAAGATATAAGAAGTAAGAAGACACCTTTTAAAGATTGGTTCCCTTATTTTTTTTTCACTTATGAAAATGCTAATACTTATATGAATAGAAAGTAGAGGTGTTCTTATGACTTGGAAAAATACCAGTTTGTCTTACATGTCCTTAATTAATTCATAATTAGCTAAATTAGACGTGAATTACCATCAGAATTCCAATGAGTGACAGATGAAGCATAGGTCAAAAAGTTGTTTTGTTTATCCAGACTGTACATACATGGACATTTATGATTGGTTAAAACTCTTTATTATATGCAATAAGAACATAATGATATGATTAAGAATACATGATAATTCATTAGAAACGCCAATTAATCAAATAGTTTGCTTAATTTGACACTAACAAATAAGGAAACCCATCTTTAATAGTGACTATTTTATTCTACAAGCTTTTGTCGTAGTTCAAACGACTTCATCAGGGGAAATCACTCTTAAAAAGTGTCTTCTTACATCTTTTATTATACAAGAACATGATACAAGTCATACATTCAATTCTACTGAGGATATAACAACTCAGGTTCACGAGGATCATTTCTACCAGCTTGCCAATATCTGTAGGGTTGGCATTGATCATTCCCTACAGCTGGGTTGAATGAGACAGTGATTCACCAAAATATACAATTGATAAACAATGGCAACCCATATTTAACATCAGAAAACAAAAACATAACGAAATACATAATGACACGTGAAAGTAATAGAACACAGGTTAGTTTGGTAGAAAATATAACAATGAATATATCAATAACTAATATAAAAGAAATAAAAAAACTGTAAAACCTAGGTGGCGCTCTATTGAAGAGTTTTGAACATGTTCCATCTCTTCCAATTCTAGCCTCAATCGAACGGTACAGAAGTGGATAAGTCACCATTTAAAATTGTCCTATCTATATCTTTCTCCACTATTTAAAGTTCTTTCTGCACCTACTATTTTTCTGGAACCCTGTTCCAACTTGTTTTATCGAATGTCTGGTTATTTCATGAAGACCAAACGTGCATAACTCACCAATTGAGTGGCCCCCTAGTTCTTTAGGTGGATTAACATCATGGTATTGAAAGGAAAAGATAAGAAAGCGACACATCTTATAAAACAATTGAAATACAACATAGCTTTGTTCTAAATAAATGCATTTAGGTTGGTAAGAACAAAAATATCACTATTGGCTATGTGGACCCAGTCACTAGGCTTTCTAAAAAGGATAAAAATCAGAGTGGCATCAGGTGCAAGAAAATTGGGCAAAAGAACATAAAATAGGACCATTTTTACATGGCCAACTATAAAGTATTGCTTTCCTACCTCTTCTTTCGTTATAAGCTATTTGGACTCTTCAAAGGAGATCCAGAGTCATCAAAGTCAAATAAATACAAAATAAATCGGAAGAGACTGGAGCAAAAGAACACAAGAATGATGGGGAGAGGTTTGATGAGGTATGAGAGGAAAGGGCAATAAGGCAAAAGGGATTTTTTTTTTTACAAATCTACAACAAAAAACAAACTCTTCGATCTATCGTTTCATTATGAACTATTTCAACTCCAAAAAGAATTCTTAGTTGAAAAGGCCTGTAATATTCTACTATTATGCCTTTCAATTCAATATTAACTGTGTAAGCTCTTCAAAAGGAATGCTGAGTTGACAAAATCAATCACTGGGTGCTATAAGGCAATAAGTTTTACAAATGCACGCTTAATTTTCCACTCTTCTGTCGTTCTAATTTCTTTTTGTCTTTCTTTTCTTCTTCCTCGTCTTTTTGTTTCTTAGCGAATTCTAAAAATACTTGTTCTAGAGATGACTGGCTAAAACTATACTCTTCTACATCTCGTGTTTGTTTGGCTGAAAATTAACGTAAAACTTGATCAAAGCCATGGCACAATCCAAGCAAAGGGCCTTATGTGATAAAGCATATTTTTCAATTATTGATGTCATCAAACACTTAGTTTAAGTGGAATTGCAGGAACCACTGACATCTGACTGAAAATTGGAATGGTGCAAATTGATGCCAGCAGTGTCCCTGATACACATAAAACCCAATCTATTTCAGCCTTCACACCCCTTGAGCAATCAGCTTTCACACCCCCAAAAGTTTGTTTCATCCACATTTTCAGCATGTGATGATGTGAGGTGTTCTCTCAATTCAAAATAAATTCCTCTCCTACACCAGCTGGCCACACCCCTGACACCGTAGTCCCACACCCCCAGGGAGTGAAAACATCCCAGGTTGGGAACGGGGGCATTAATACTTGTCATTTAATATATTTTTCATTTTTCCTAGTTAATGAAAAAAAACGTTACCTTTTTCAAGAAATGAAAATGCTTCAGCGAGAGATTTCACGTCAGCCTTCGGTACTTTAAACACTCCACGATCACCAAACTTTTCAGCAGATTCAGCGTTCGGAAAACAAGTTTTGATATGAGCTTCGAATTCCTCCATCTTGCTTTCTATGTCGTTTACTTGTGAATGTATTTTAACTTCTAATAGGTAACCACTTCCAAATTTATCTTTTAAATGTTGACTTGGTCCCAGACACCTTTAAATAAAAATTATCAAAATTTAAACAGGCATTCCGAACTTGTCTCGAAGTGTGAATGAGAGTAAGGAGGATGTAACATGGGAATAAGTTCTACTTGTCTAACTTCAGTAGGGACACAGACTGACTTATATAGATCAGTTGTCTGAAGATCGCATATATCGTTCTACAATTGATGTATTGAACACTATTTTAACAATGGTATTTCTATATCATTCTACAACTGATGTATTGAGCACTATTTTAACAGTGATATTTCTATATCTCTCTAAAATTGATGTATTGAACACTATTTTAACAGTGGTATTTCTATATCACTCTATAATTGATATATTGAGTACTATTTTAACAGTGGTATTTCTATATCACTCTACAATTGATGTATTGAGTACTATTTTAACAGTGGTATTTCTATATCATTCTACAACTGATGTATTGAGCACTATTTTAACAGTGATATTTCTATATCTCTCTAAAATTGATGTATTGAACACTATTTTAACAGTGGTATTTCTATATAGCTCTACAATTGATGTATTGAACACTATTTTAACAATGGTATTTCTATATAGCTCTACAATTGATGTATTGAACACTATTTTAACAATGGTATTTCTATATCGTTCTACAATTGATGTATTGAACACTATTTTAACAGTGGTATTTCTATATCACTCTATAATTGATATACTGAGTACTATTTTAACAGTGGTATTTCTATATCACTCTACAATTGATGTATTGAGTACTATTTTAACAGTGGTATTTCTATATCGTTCTACAATTGATGTAATGAGCACTATTTTAACAGTGGTATTTCTATATCACTCTACAATTGATGTATTGAGTACTATTTTAACAGTGGTATTTCTATATCGCTCTACAATTGATGTATTGAACACTATTTTAACAGTGGTATTTCTATATCACTCTACAATTGATGTATTGAACACTATTTTAACAGTAGTATTTCTATATCACTCTACAATTGATGTATTGAGTACTATTTTAACAGTGGTATTTCTATATCACTCTACAATTGATGTATTGAGCACTATTTTAACAGTGGTATTTCTATATCGCTCTACAATTGATGTATTGAACACTATTTTAACAATGGTATTTATATATCACTCTACAATTGATGTATCGAGCACTATTTTAACAGTGGTATTTTTATATCACTCTACAATTGATGTATTGAGTACTATTTTAACAGTGATATTTCTATATCACTCTACAATTGATGTATTGAACACTATTTTAACAATGGTATTTATATATCACTCTACAATTGATGTATCGAGCACTATTTTAACAGTGGTATTTTTATATCACTCTACAATTGATGTATCGAGCACTATTTTAACAGTGGTATTTTTATATTACTCTACAATTGATGTAATGAGCACTATTTTAACTGTGAGAATATTTGATTAATGTCAAATTAATATATAAATTTATGAATACAATTCATCTTTCAATTTTCAACTGTGCACGGAATCTTTAAAATAATATGTACAGTCTGTAGCACACAGAGCCTCAGTTTATTGTCCAATCTGAACTAAAAGACGTTTGTTTCCATGTTAACCCTTCCTACATGCATCACTGACAGGAGGAAACTGGGTTGAATAACCTGAAGAAACATATCTAATGCTGGAATTAAACCCTGGACTCTGGACTCTTCGGATAGCGAGCAAGTGTCTCACTTATTGAGCCGCTGCCATCCCCAAGCAAAAGAAAATTCTCAAAAGATTTGATCACTGGACCCTCAGGGTAGCGAACCAG